ATACCATACATATTTTTTAGAAATGTTTTGGAAAACATTTGAACACCTTGTCTTAAAATATTTTATTATTTATTTTATTTATTTTATTACATTTATACCCCGCCCTCCCCGCGAACGGGCTCAGGGCGGCTTACATAAGGCACCGAGTGCGTTCAGTATACAAAATTACATAATACAAAATTAAAACAGATTAAAACCAATTCTACAGGTGCACATATAAACTCCTAGCATCTTGCGCAGCAGGGGGGGAAGGCTGGGGTGGTGAAAGGTGTTACCCAACCCCCCCAGTGGTCTCTCTCTATAAAGGCGCGGTGGTGTAGCGGCTCCTACTGATAAGCCTGGCGGAAGAGCTCCTTCTTGCAGGCCCTGCGGAACTGCACAAGGTCCCGCAGGGCCCTGATCTCCTCCGGGTTCATCATGTTAAAATAAAACGTTCCATTATCAATTCTTTTCCTCTCTTTTTTCAATTTTTCGGAAAAAAACAGTTTCCCCCCGAATTTCTCCAGTTTTTTTCTGGGCCTTCACATCCCTAGTCTTAGCTCGGGGAGGAGGGCTCCAGAGCAAGCTAATGTATGCAGCAGCCCAATCGCTCGCTCACAGCTTTAATGCCAGGAGCTTACAAAGGAGAATTTCTGCTCACGAGTCTCCACGGCTTAGAGGGAGCATTGCCTCTGACTGATGAGGGAGGGAGACTGGCGCCATCCGGGAGGCCCGGCTGAGCTCTCTCCGGCCTTGCAAATCTGGGGCAAATCTGGAGTAAAACCGGAGCCCTGCAGGCCCTCGCCAGTAGCGAGCCATTTAATTGGAACGGGAAATGAGACCGTTACGTCATCTGGGAAGATCCGGGTTCTTTGAAATGCCCAATCGTGGATCCGTCGGGAGGGCTTCCATTTGTGCCGCTGTTTGTGCCGGCAGCCTGGGAGAACTGCAGGTCCGTTTGTGGGACCGAAGACGTGCAGAAACCCTCCCTTTCCAAATGTCTGACGAGCAAAATGGAGAGATTTAATTACAGCCTCGAAGAAGGCGTTGGGAACATGAGATCAGTGGAGAGGTAATGGCGGGTGTAGGCTTATTTCCTTCATTCGTATGCAGTCTCTCCCCAGTTCACAGGAAAGCCGTTATGAAATTCTTGATAGATGGTATCTCGTGCTTTTAATTTAGAATCTAGTACCGCTATCTCCTATTGATGCTGTAAGTGCAGACAGGCTGCAGCAGATTCTGTGGCCGCCAGAGAATTACAGAATCATAGAATGTTAAGAGTTGGAAGGGACCTTGCAGGTCATCTAGCCCAACCCCCTGCACTCTGCAGGAGCATCACCTGAAAGAGGGTTGTCCAGTCTCCACTTGAAGACGTCCAGCGAAGGAGCATCCACCCCCTTCCGTGGCAGTCTGTTCCACTGCTCAACCACCCTTACAGTTAGGAAGTTTCTCCTGATATTTAACCGGTAACAACTCCCTTGTAATTCCCACCCATTAGATCTAGTCTTGCAAACTGGAGCAAGAGATAATAGATCCCCTCCATCTTCTACATGACAGCCCTTCAAATATTTGAAGACTGCAATCGTGTCCCCTCTAAGCCTTCTCTTTCTCAGGCTAAACAGACCCAACTCTTTCAGCCTTTCCTCGTAAGACTCTGATTCCAACGCTCTCACCATCCTGGTTGCCCTCTTCCGGACACGCTCGAGCTTCTCAACATCCTTCCTAAAATGTGGTGTCCAAAACTGGACACAAAACTGGACACAGAGGATGGAGAGTTAGTTTGTTGATGGGAGCAGGAGAAACGTGCCGGCGAAGGGACCGGAACTCCGGACTGCTGACAGATGGGTTTTAAGAATGAGCTCGACTGTGGAGGCGTTTACACTTACGTACATAAGGAACAGGACAGATCCAGGGCTGTGTCTGTTCACTTCCAGACCAGGTCCCGTCCAATGCTCCCTCTAAGCTGTGGAGTCTTGTGAGCAAAAATTCTGCTCTGTGAGCTCCTGGCATTAAAGCTGTGAGCGAGCGATTGGGCTGCTGCAGAAATCAGTTTGCTCTGGCGCCCCATCCCTCCTGAGCTGAGAAAAAAATGTGCGAGCCGGAGGCTAAAAAAACTGTGAACTAGCTCACACTAACACCGCTTAGAGGGAACACTGGTCCTGGGATGGTACAGAGTGGATTTGCTTTTGTACTGACTTCGTTGATATCTGGCCTTTCTCCGCAGTGAGGGATCCAAAGCAGCTTACTGTGTTCTTCTCCATTTGGTCCTCGTAAGAACAGCCCTGTGAGGGAGGCTAGGCTGAGAGGGTGGGACTGGCCCAAGGTCACCCAGCCAGCTTCCATGGCAGAACGGGGGGATTCGAATCTGCGTCTCGCAGATCCTAGCCCAGCACGCTAATCACTACACCACACTGTCTCTTCCCACCTCTTAGCACAGGGAGAGGAGGTGTGCCTTCCAGGAACCCTCAGTCGCCTCCCATCTCAAACATGAACTACCCCTTCCCTGCGAAGCTTTGGGTCACACTGACACTGATCCAAATGCTCAGTTTGGTGCAGTGGTTAGGAGCGCGGACTCTAATCTGGGAGAACCGGGTTTGATCCCCCACTCCTCCACTCGCAGCTGCTGGATGACCTTGGGCAAGCCGTAGTTCCGATAAGAGCTGTCCTTGGAAAAGAGCAGTTTCTGTCAGGGCTCACTCAGCCCCACCCGCCTCACAGGGTGTCTGTCTGTTGTGGGGAGGGGAAGAGAAAGGAGTTTGTAAGCCGCTCTGAGACTCCTTTGGGTAGTGAAGGGCCATGGGGTATAAATCTAATCTCCTCCTCCTCCTCCTCTTCTTCTAATCTGGGAGAACCGGGTTTGATTCCTCACTCCTCCGCAAACAGCTGCTGGTGTGACCTTGGTCCAGTTACAAGTTCTTTCAGAGCTGTTCTCTCAAGAGCAGTCCTTAAAAGAGCTCTCTCAGCCCCACCTACCTCACAGGGTGTCTGTTGTGGGGAGGGGGAGGGAAAGGTGTTTGTAAGCCGCTCTGAGACACCTTTGGGTAGTGAAGGGCAGGGTATAAATCCAATCTCCTCTTCTTCTTCTAATCCGGGAGAACCGGGTTTGATTCCCCACTCCTCCACACGCAGCTGCTGGTTTGACCTTGGGCCAGCCACAAGTTCTCTCAGAGCTGTTCTCTCGAGCAGTCCTCGAAAGAGCTCTCTCAACCCCACCTACCTCACCGGGGGTGTCTGTTGTGGGAAGGGGAAGGAGATTGTAAGTCGCTCTTTGACTCCGAGTGAGGGGCAGGGTATAAATCCAATCTTCCAATCTGCAGCAGGACTTGCTCTTAGCCAGGATTTCTTTCCCCAGTTTCAAATTCGGACTCCAGAGCAATCCCCGCTTTGTGTCTTCCAGAATAAATGTTGGTGCTGGCCAATGCTCCCTCTGAGCTGTGGAGTCTTGTGAGCAAAAATTCTGCTTTGCGAGCTCCTGGCATTAAAGTTGTGAGCGAGCAATTTGGCTCCTGCATAAATTCATTGGCCCTGGAGCCAGCCTTCCTGAGCGAAGACAAAAAATGTGTGAGCTGGAGGCTAAAAAACTACGAGCTAGCTCACACTCACTCAGCTTAGAGGGAACACTGCCGGCGTAAAATGTTGGTGCCGGAAAGGGCTGGCGTAGACAGTTCATGCCCGAGGGCAGCTGATGTGTGCCACGCCACAAATTGTTGCTCACCTTGCCTTAACTGTGGTTACAGAATGCAGGAACATGTGCCTGCAGTGCTGGTTTGTTCAGAGATGGCGTTTACAACCTTGTTGTGATTGATGGTCCTTTTACAACTGAGTGGGAAGCCTGCCATGACAGCCTTTGGGCTAGCGAGCGCTTGGCCCCAGTCCTCCCTTTCCCTCCTTGCGGTAGCAGGCAGATAGAGATGTGGGAACAGGCGCCAGCCATCACTCACCTGGCTTTTAACCGGAGTGTTCTTTTCTCGTGGTGGGGTGACTTTATCGCCCAAGGTA